ATCACCATTTTAATTGTTAATATTATTTTTCTTAATATTGATGAGGACCATTAATTAATGTACGCTTTAATATTGAAGAAGACCATTAAAAATGATCCTTTTCTCCTCCTTTGATTTTTCAAAGCAATTAGGAAAAAAGTAAATTATAATACTTGTGACGTGTTTTCAAAATCGTATTTGATTTTTTGCTGAACACGTTTACATGAGTCTTTAAGTAAGACCAAGGCCATAATAGTATTAGTAGTAGTTGTAGAATTTTGAACTTTTACTTGAATTGTAAGTGGCAAGCAACTTCATGCAATAAATTATTGGCCACGAAATAAATTAGTACCCCTCTATCACGTTATATTGATAATTCAGATTCCAGAACTTGAAATATTAATTATTAAAAATTACTGGAAGAGGCCGAAATAAATTACGAGCCATCCATTTCTTTTTTGTACATACTTTATCCTATCTTTTATATATAGGTTTACAATGCAAATTTGTTCAGAAAGTTTTCACTCAAAAACGTTACGCATTTAAAAGTTTTATTTAGAGCAAATTTATCCCAGAAATTTAAAATTATAGTAGTATTGCCTCCTGCTCTTAAAAACATTAACGATCAACATTACTATTTTAACAGTCAACACTAATTTTTTAATGACAGGAAGTAATATTGCTATGATTTAAAACTTTCGAGGCAAATTTACTCTCAAATTGATAAATGTAAATACTTTAAAGTGATTTATTAATTAGCTTTCTTAACATACCCAAATTAATTAACTGAATCTTATATTAAGGATTCGAAATTATATCTAAAAGTCATTTGTGAAACTTATGATATGAATAATTTAAATATGATGATGATGCTAATGATAAATGCACTATCAGTTAATAACCAGAGTGATTATAACGATAAAGAGCGCATAGCAATACTCTTAGAGCCATGATAGTTAAGCTCTCGTCATTTAGATATTCCTCTACACACACAAACACACACATGTAAATATATATATATGAAGACTCTATGGGTGCACTCATTTTGTGATCAGTTTTGCAAGCAAATGAATTGAAGATGGGTGTGATGACAGTGGTATTTTTATTATGCTTTGTTGTAGATCGCGGCTGTGGCCAATATGATATAGACGAGGAGAAATGTGCTCTGCCTCAGACCAAATGGTGGAATTTCAGCGATAGCGCCCACAACTTGTCTCTGGAACCGATATCTTGCAATGAATTTGGAAGCGTTACTGATATCTATCCTCTAGGGAATATTTGTGTGTGCATGTGCGTGGCTGAGGGGAGGACTAAACATTCTTAAGATTTTAAGGTTTTCAAGAATAATCTTCAAGTGAAAATAACTAATTAACCAAAGATACGATTTTCACTATCGAATTAAACCCTCAAAAGTACTTTTAAAAAGTATTTTTTCGTAAAACGAAATAAATTCATCTATATATTTACTTCATAAACTGTAAAAGCACTTTTGAAACCATAGTTTGATTTTCATCCAAATACCTCCTAAGAAAACCACAAAGTCCATTATATATGAAAGTTTGTGAATTCTTTCTTCACTTCTTCAAAGAAAAGGCAAAAACAAAATTGCATAAAGTCCGTATTACTATTATGGCATGCCATTCCTGCTCTGTGCCACAATTCTACTGCTATTGCAATGATAGGAAAGGAAAAACGTGCTTTGCCACAAAGAACACCATGGAATATTACTGCTATAACTTTTATTGACAGGTTTCATTCCAGCTCATATAGGAACTCTTCAAAACTTCAACGAGCTGGATTTGTCTCATAATAACATTACAGCTGAGTTCTCTTCCACCCTTACTACGTTGAATTTTTATTCGATTAGAAATGACCTAGTGTCTAGAACACATTAATTTGCATTCTGAATGAATGTTTCTACAAGCACCATCCCAAATCAGATAGGAGCTCTTCATAGTCTCTTTTGTTTGAACTAGTTTTACTAGAGATTGTAGGTGGGTTACTTTCTGGTGAGAATTCTTATAATCAATAGAGATATAATTTAGATAAAACATTATAGATTTGGAAGACAAAATTATCCAATAACTCCTAACTAGTTCTTATATTAAATACCGGAGATAGTAATATTTAATGATAGTGTTGGTGAGTGGCAATAATGCAAAATGAATCAATTTTAAGACAAATTTTATTGCTTCAACTTATCTTGATTCCAGTGAATTAATTAGAAGCAACTTAGATATGTGTGTTTGTGTGTGAGGTGAGGACAAAACGATTCTTAATTTTTAAGGGTTTCAAGAATAATCCTCAACTTAGCTCTTATCTTGACTTGTCTAATAATGTAACAATTTTACTGGTGAGTTATGTACCTTCCACTTTCACTGTTACTATCTTGCAAATTCACTCAATTTAGAATTATTGCATTTACCTCCACATAATCTAATATATCTGTTGACAAGTACCATTCCAATACTGATAGGAAGTCTTCAAAATCTGACCAGGCTTTATTTATCTCAACAATCTCACGGGTAAGTTGCTTAACATTTACTCTTACCAAACTCACTCATGTACTGGTATAAGTTGCTAGTTACTCTTAATGGTACCAATCTTAATTTGGAATATTTGAAACTCAAGGGAAGAGGTTTGATAGGTAAGGTACCATTCCAGCTTCCCCCAGTGACTTTTTATGTGTTGATGAGTTGGACAAAGAGTACTGTGTCTGTAAACTCTGGTTATCTGATTTTTTAAACTATTGATGATCTATCACTTCCTTTTTCTAGAATTTCAAAAGAAAAAAATTGGAGGAGGCAAGAAGATGAAAGAGACCGAAAACCAAGCTAATTTGGTAGCTAAGTTATTGGGCCTTGGATGTCCCAAATGCCCACTTTTTAGTACTCACTTGCAGGGATCATCACATTTAACATAATTCTCATCACTGAAATGATGTTGGGTCTGTTTGGATTAGTAGTAAAAAAAAAAAACTTATTTATAATCTGGCTTTTCAAAAAATAAGATTAAGTAAAAATTAGATTGGATAATATGATTTATATTTAGATTGACTTTTATAAATAAGTTAGTTTGTGAAAGTAAGTTGTTTGGATTATGATTAAATAAGTAATTTTAGTTTGCAAAATTACCAAAATGAGTATGACTTTTATTAAATAATAATAAATTATAAATTATAAATTTACATGATATAATAATTTTAAATTATTTATAAGCTCTTGTTGATCTCATATGTTTTTCATTTTTTATTATTTATTATAAGGACATATTTGAAAATAACATTATATTTCTAACTTATTTATTACTTTCAACTAATTTTAATTGATTTTTCATTATCCACAAATTAGTTATTTTGAGGCTTATAATAAGAATTAGAGGAGGTAGTAAATTGTTTAATGTTTTCTCTCTGTGTTTCAAAAGTCAAAAGTCATAAGCCATAAATCATAAGCAGCTAATTTCTACTTATAGCTTATTATAGCTTTTTATGCAAAAGTCAGATTGCTTCACCGCCGTTTTGAGTAGGCCCATTCCATATTACCGACTCTTTAGAAGCACTTTAGAATCAATGGGATGATCTTATAACCGTTGGGTATTGAGAATGAGATCTTATGATCATTAGATATTAGCTCATTAGAGAAAGAATCACAATACGTTTAGGTTGGTGCTTAATTAAAATGCCAAGTAATAGACAGCTAAGAATCACAACATGTTTAGGTCGGTGCTTAATTAAAATGACAAATAGACAGATGTCATCAACTCAAAATTTGTTGCAACAGCTGTCATTAATGGTTTTTTTATCAGGTGAAACAGGTTTAAAACTGGAGCTTTTTATTTTTAATTTTATTGAATTTTTCTGTTATAAAAACTGAAGTGTTTTAGTATTTTAACTTTAATTTAATGCTTTTTTTTGGGTTATAAAAGAACTCAAATTTATTTTTAACTCAATTCTCAACCAAAATCAAATTAGGCCAAAACAGGAATTCTTAATTTATCCGTAAACGTTCTTTTTTTTTAATTAATAATTAACTAATTTTTTTTAGAAATTAAAAAATTTACCAATCATATTATGAATTCGACTCTATTTGGCTTTAAAAAGCGAAATGTTTTTTTTAAAAAAGAAAACAATCTGGTTTGGCTTTCTCCCAGTAGGCATTCATTGATCCAAACCTTGGGATAAAGGAAAGACAGACTCAAATTTTCCCCAAATAAAAACACGGAATAATAAAAGTTTACTGGCATTCATTAATGCATACGATGAGGTAAGCGAGAGGCAGGAGAGGTTTTATGTCCCTGAAAGATTAATCTTTAGAAGGTCTATGACATAATCAAACGGACTTTTCTTGCTGAAGCTGCTCTTGTAGGCCAGAATGGAGAGTAATTTCATAAATCTCATCACGCGGTGTGTTTCCACCCCTTCTTATAATGTTTTTTGGAATGGGCATCTTATTGATTATTTTATTCCGAAGAGGGGACTCTACCACGGAGTCACCCTACTTGTTTGTCTTGTATTGTATGAACAGGTTATCACATTTTCTTCTCTCCTAAAGTTCCCGAGGCTCTAAGCTAAGGAGGAAAATTAGCTTGCTGAATGGCATGAAGATTGCAGAGGAGATTGGTAGGTGTACTTGGGGCTTCCCTCTCTGGAAATGGAAGACCTACAGAGACCTTTCAATATATAGCGGACAGAGTCAGATCTAAAGTTGATGCTTGAAAGGCGAATTGCCTCTTAACTAAAGGAAGAATTACTCTTGCCAAGTCGTTTTTAAGTACAGTTCCAATACATCCTACGCAAGTTGCTAAGCTACCGATGAGTATTTGCAATGAAATAGGAAGAATTCAGTGAAAATTTCATTTGCATAATCAAATGCATGACCTGCATATAGATATAATAGCGGAAACCTACTGGTGTTTGCATCCTCTACTTCAGTCTTCAGCATAATCTTCAATTCCATTCTTTTTGGTTTAATCAAGTTTTGTAGATGCTTTTCTGATTTTAATGCAAGCTTTTCTGATTTCAGGCCATGTAAAGGTGCAGTCAACCTATTCCTTGCAGTACCTTCAACAATGATGGTTCAATCTTTGCTTACTAGGTACAGCCTGTTTCTGCACACGTTTGCAGCTCTGTGAAATAAATTTTGGCATCCTCTTTCGTGCCACACGAAGTAACGTTGAGAATCTTTGAATTATATACCAGCTCACCCCAAAAAAAGAAAAAAAAAAAGAAAAAAATTTTCAATTAGTAATGAGAGTGGCTTGAAAAACTCCTCTGCACAGAGTACGCTTGAGGGGATGCTAAAATGCTAGAGAATCGTCTGGAATATTGGAATTAAGATAGAAAAATAAGTAGAAACATGTAGGTATTTCACTGGAAAAAATGTAGGCATGCAAAAAAATCGCAAGAAATGAGACTTAATTGATGGCTCTTCATAGTGAACTTTTCCGCCAATGTCATCTGAGAAAGACAAGTTATATATATTAGAGAAACTGGATAAGTGCTATAAGAAGCTGTGCGTGATGTGTTTGTAACCCTGTTTTGCTATGATTGAGAAGTTATGCATTTGCGTAGTTCACTCACAGGTTTTGCTATCGCAGACTCATCTTGTGAAACAGAAATTATGAAAAAATACCAAAAAGAAAAATCTGAAAGAATGTCGTTAGACCTTGTGTGAATGATATGTCCATATTTCTGCTTATAGGTCTGCTATGACTGGAGTAAAGGGGCTGAAAATCATAATCCTGCGACAGCAAAGACTTAAATCTTCCTGCATTTGCCACAGGTATTCAATGATTTGGTCGTAAAAATAAATGTTCTTTAATAGCTTTTTTTGGCAACATGCGAATATGATATGCTCCTGCAATGCAGGAAAATGAGGTTAAGGGCAATCCTCGACTTGGAACAACTGGGAGAAAGTAGGGATTATCCTAGTTTTGTATTACCCTTCTACGCACATAGATGTTTTATACTAGCGTCGAATGCGGGGCATGGTCTTGACCTGCTGTTTACTGTTTTCATTCTCTGTTCCAGATATGATGTATGTTACTCAGATTTGGATCCTCTCACGTGATATGATCGTCATGTGAACAGAAAAATATATGCATTTATAGCAGAGAAGGTACGATATTTTATTTATTTTTCTCTACACAGCACGTCATCATGATGTTACTATGGGAGGATCCAAATCGCATTGGTCAGTAGTTTGGTAGTTTTATGATGAGGGATGGTTTTAGTTTCTACGGCGGAAGGCATCTGTAAGTAGTCTGTGATTGCTTTACATAGAGATTGCTGAATTGCAACATATTTGACACTTTTAAGTTGTATCATTTATAGTTTCGTTCGTGGCGTGCAGGGTTCAGGCAAACAGTCTTTAGTTATGATGGGTATGAATGTTGATTGATTTATCAGAATTGGTCTGTCCTATATATTCCTTCAGTTCTAAATATAAGATCCATTTTATGGTGTAATAAAATGAGTCTTATAATTTTGGAACGAAGGAGTATAACAATAAATCTTGTCTTTCAGCTGTCGCGAAGGCTTCACACACGCACGCACACTCCTTCCTGTCCCCATAATATATCCGTAGCATTGAGCACCGAGCTCCAAGAGCAGGGTGTAACTAGCAGCATCTGCGCCTGGGCCCTGAAATTGAGTAGGACTTGAGCGGAGATCATCATGAAACGAGCATTCAGCATATGGTCTCGTTCGTAGAAAGTCTTCAGTTCAAGATAAACGAAGACTTTTAAGTTATTCTTAATCTATTCCATTTTAATGGTGTGAAAAGAATTAGATGAAGGGAGAAGAATCAGTAACAAATGAAAGAACAGTTAATATGTTTAAGGCCGCCCATTCATCCCTTAAGGAGGCAAATTTTTTGAAAGGCGCATCTGAAAAATTTTATCAGGAAATTCAGTTATTTGGTATTTTAAAATATGAGAAATCATTACAGTATTTGAAATGCAGATCCCATATCCAAGTCGAAGTTAAATAATAGAGACTTGCAATTTGGATTCATGTATTAAGGTTTGAGAGAACAGTTTTATTATATTTTTGGCTATTATATGGATCAGTTAAGCGGAGTAAACATTACTATCTCAAATTTCATGTTCCTCCTTCCATGCAGGTGAATAATGATATTCACATGCTGTTTTACTCGTTCTATCCTCAATCATCATCAAGTGAAGAGTTTATTTGAACGAAGTTCAAATGACATACCTTCTAGTTCCACCATTGCCTTCTTGATCATTAGCTTGAACTTACCTGCATGGAAAATTAAGCATCAATAGAACGCAGAGAAAGCACTGACATAAATACACCACAAGGTCCAAAAAATACATAAAAGATAGGAGTAACAGTATTAATAATATTGAATGCATTTTACTGTCAACTCCAAGCGGCAACACATTTAAGTATAACAACGGAACATGAATATAAGTCTTTCGACTGAGTTATTAGTTAACAAATTTGTAATTAGAAATAACAAGTATTTATTTGTAAATAACGAGTTTGATATGTGGATTTAACGATTTTATAATTAAAAATAATAAGTTAACTTAATTAAAATAATAAATATTGGTTTGGAAATAACAAGTTTAGTATAAGAATTTAATAAGTTTGTAATTCAAAATAACAAATTAAGTTTGTTGAACTAACAAATATTTACTTGGAAATAACAAGTTGAATTTAGGAAGGAAGCAAGTTATTTTATATATATATATATATATATATATATATATAACTATTTTGGACTTGTCATTCCCTACTTCAAACTTATAATTTCATATTTTGGACTCGTAATTTTTTATTTTGAATTTGTTATTTTCTATTACAAACTTGTAATTCCTTATTTCAAGCTTGTAATTTCTTATTGAAGATTTGTTATTCCCTATTGTAGACTTATAATTTTCTATTTCACATTTATATTTTTGATTTTAGACTTATAATTTTCTATTTCAAACTCGTTATTTCCTATTTTACACTTGTAATCTTCTATTTTAAACTTATAATTTTTTATTTTAGACTTGTTATATCTTATTATAGACTTGTAATTTTATATTTTGGACTTATAATTTTTTATTTTAGACTTGTTATTTCTTATTACAGACTTAGAATTTCTTATTTTGGACTTATAATTTTCTATTTAAGACTTGTTAGTTTTCATTGTAAACTTATAATTTTCTATTTTACACTTATAATTTTTTAGTACATATTTGTAATTTTCTATTTGTAATTCAAGCTAAAATAAATTTTGCCACGTGCTTACTGATTATGACATGACATGTCCCACACTCCTCCCATGTTGCGGCATTTATCTTCATTACGTGTTTGTGTGCATTTCTATTGGCTACACGCCTTACACATAGCTATGCGTTACCATTTGTGGACTTCCCCCGATTAATTTCATAAATATAAAAAAGAAAAAGAAAAAAAAACTTATTAATCATGAGCCGCACGCTCAGGGGACATGAGACTTTTAGGCCCTGATTGAAATTATGATTTAAATAACTTATAAATATATTTTACGTAAATTGAGATAAATTTTTTTTTTACATATTTACCTTGTATTTTGTAAATTAATATTGAAAAATTATTTATAAACCATTCCAAGTAGACCTTTAGGCTCTGATTGTGTTTTTGAGTAGTTTAAAGGTGACTTATCCAGCTCATAAGTATGTTTTAAAAATTCTAGCTTGTTTGGATAAGTTTTTTTTCTTATCCTACTTAATTGGATTCATAAGCACAATTGGGTTAAGTACCTCAGAGCTATTTATTACTTTTTCATTGTGCTTATAGGTGGTTGGTACTATTAAAACAATAATTATTCTTGAAAAAATTTTCTCACTCTTTTTCCCCATTATCCACTCACGCTTTTTGGTTCCATCTCCTTGCTCCTTCATCCGCTCCTTCCCTCATCTTGTCTGACTTGTCCTTGCCGTGGCCAAGTTGTGCTCGCCCTCTCCATTTCCTGGCCGTCGTGGGACCATCGAGAGCGAAGGCACCGTTGCAAGTTGGGTAGAGTGGAGGGAGATGAAGAAAAGGGGGAAAAAAATTTGGGGCCCGTAAAGTTATAAATAAAAAATAATTAAATAAAAGAGGTAGTGAATGCACACTCTTTGCTTGGAGTTATGCAGAGATATTTTTTTTTCCTTTTGGCATTTTGCCTCTCTTATATATTAGGAATTTTTTATTTGAATTAAATCTAAATTTGGAAATTATTTTTGTGTTAAAAAATATGTTCTGTAAATTTTTTAATCCGAATATATTATTTCATTAAATAGTTTAAAATTATTGTATTATGTAAATTGGTATTTTTTTTATTTCACATTATCTAATAAATGTAGTACCCATTTTGATAATTTTATAAACTAAGTTTAATTATTCAATCACAATCTAAACAATTTTTACTTTTACCCAATTTAATTTTTTGAAAAACCAATTCAAATATAAATCACATTATCCAATCTAATCTTTAACTAATTTAATTTTTTTATGGATCAAATTGAAAATAAGCTACTTTTTTTATTCTAAACAGGCACCTAACCATGTTCCAAAAGTCTTAATCATGAGCTGGAAGCTTAAGTGATATGCACCCAATCTTTCATAAGCTCGAAGCTGTGATGGTAAACCCATAATCATATCGAAACACTTCAGCTGCTTCCCTATATCTCTTTCCTATATTATTACGAGGAATCCCATGGCCACAAAGAACGTAATGGCTCACCCAGCAACACTTGATCATCACCCAAAAAAAAACCATATTTTTCGGTAAAATAGATGCATGTTGAGGGGTCTTAAACCGGTGCTAGAAGGGCTCAAATTCATTAATGGGATGATAACGCAAATACCTGGAAACTGATCGCCAATGTCAGCCTCTTTTGTTTTTCAAAATACAGAAGGGTTTTTTGGTCTTTTATGCTTAATTTATAATTTTAATTTATTATCCAGTCCCTTCAAACAATTTTTTTTAATTCAAGTACCCATTTTATTTTTAATAGTCACGAAGTGTTTGATATGTGTCTTTAGATGTACTTGAAAAGTTACTTGAAAAGTTGTCCTCCCTTCAATCCTTATGATAAGGATTTTTAACATTTTCATAATGTAATATATTTTGTTTAAAATATTAATTTTTTTTCATCTAATACTCTTAACTAACTATAAATCTTACTAATTAATTACTACCTTCGATCCTTAGTATACGAACTCATTTAATTTTTATTTTGATATCAAATATAAGACTCCAATTTACTTTGTCTCTCATATTTATTCTTTTTTTTTCCTAAGGTAATTCTTGTAATAATGATAGTTCTAGCCAATATATTTGATTAGCAAGAATATTTTAGAAAAAAAACAACACTTATTTATTACAAATAACTAATTTAAATAGTTTTCTTAATCTATTCAAATTAGCCAACCAGTTCCTATATTAAAGATCAGAGCTAGTAGTTAAATTTCTCCGCTGATTTTTATTGAAAATATTACCCCCTCGTCGTCTTAATTTAAGTGTAGAATATCTATCCATGAGTTTTCGAAGTTCACGCAAAAACTTCGATCATCAACGATGGAACTTTTTGAGTTCGTCCGTGAGGTTTGTAAAAGTCGGAAAAAGCATATATGGATCTCTCTCCAATATAGATGTCAAAACGGAGTAACCCCATTGGGCCAGCCGTTCAAGCTTTTTTAATTGAACGACGGGACCTGTATTTTAAGAGGTTTAAAAAAAAATTAGACTAAAATAAATTAACCTTTTAGAATTCAGAAATAAAAAAGCCAACTCTCTTAAACTCGTCTATTTTTTTTAATATCAAGATATTTATACAATTACATATTAGTTTTTTATGGATAAGTCTAAACTAGAAAATTATTTAGAAGAACTAATACTTAATCCAGATAATTGAAAAGAATTAGATGTTTTGAACTGGAAGAAGTATAATTAAAATCAATTTTCAATTCTTTTGAGGATACCAATTGATATTCATAACATTTCAATCACTACAGTAGCTATTTAATCTTCCTTTTACTATTTTTTCATATGTCTAAACAAAATATAAAAATTCTCTTATTCTAACAAATATTTAGACTTTTATTTATACTCGTAACTACTACATAGTTTAACTTTAGATGAAAGTGATGAAAACAAAAACCTTGATATTTTTATCACTGGATAAGAGCCCGTCTCTAGTGAAGAAAAATCAAATATTGTTGATCTTAATGATAGTGATGAATATAAAGATAATAATCATATTGATGTTGTTAATCTTTAGCTACTTTGTTTTTGTCTATTTGCTTTCCCTGTTTTATTTGGTTTTGTTTTTTGAATTTGGATAACAATCATTAGTGTTTGATGTTTTTCTCTGCACATCACTAGTTCATTTTACTAATATTATAATTTGAATAAAATTTTTTTGATGTTTTATTATTTCTTATTTCAAAACAATTGAAAAGAATTTAAATTTTAAAAAATAATATAAAAGGGCTAGTTCTTTTAAGCCCTGAACCCATATATAAGATGATAATTTTAAAGTATGCGGGTTTTAAAGGACCGGTTTTTTTTTTTATGCTTTGATCCTTCAAGGGCTAGCTTTTTTAAGGTTAGGCTATCCCTTATTGAAACCTCTATCCAATAGCATTCTCTCTAAACCCCAATATGACATACAATATTTTGGTTGCCCTATCACTTAACCTGGGCGATAATTTGACCCAAAAAAAAGTCTGGACGATAAAGAAAAAGCGTTGACAAATTCTTAAAAAAACAAAAAAGAAAAAAAACCAAAAGAAAGAAAAGAGGAGCTACTTTTTTTTTTTGGTTATTTAATTGTCAACCTTGCAAAATAAAGACCCAAATGGGCGATCACCTTCCATTAACCAGTAAGACTGGAATTCTCTGATGCTACCTCCGGTCCTTAATATAATAACTAATTTGACATTCAATTTAATTCTAAATATAAAGCTCTAATTTACTTTATTTTAATATTTATCTATTTTATTCTCAAATCATTCCCATAGTAATTGCATATGTTAATAAATTAGTATCAGTGGGTATTCAAACACACATGATTAATAAAAGTATCTTAATGAAAACAATATTTCTATATTATAGAAAAATGGTGGATGTAAGAATCCACGGCTAATGGAATCATGCCTTCCAAGTCACACATTTTTTACCACATCATTTCAAACAAAGCTTTATCATAACATTCCTCTAGTTTGAAGTATTTACTATAAATAACTAACTTAAATATTAAATTTCCTAATCTCTCTAAATTAATCAGTTGGGTCTTATATCAACGGTAGGAGGTAGCAGTTTATACACCCATTACCCCATCTTTCACTTTATTGCTAATTCAGAACTTTGAAATGTTAATTATTAAAAATTACTAGAAGAAGCATATAAGGAGCATATAAACAATATAATACATGCAAAGCCATGATAAGCTTTCGTGATTTCTATATTGCAATGGGTGTGATAGTGGTATTTTTATTATGCTTTGCTATAACTTGCTTCCAAATTAATAGCCACGAAGAGAAACATGCTCTGCTTTAGACCAAATGGTGGAATTTTAGCAATATTGCTCACAACTTCTCAGAGCCTTGTGACTGGAAAGGCATATATTGTGATGACTTTGGAAGCGTTATTGAGATTAATCAACCCAAGATCATTGCACAGCGCCCTCAGCTAGCAGATCTCAACCTGTGCGTTTCACAACCTACAATATTTGATACTCAAGGGAAGGGTCTAAGAGGTAACATTCCAAATGAGATAGGAACTCTTCATTATCTCAGGCATTTGAACTTGTCTTATAATAATCTTATAGGCGAGTTATGTACCTTTCAAATTCACTCACTTTGAAAATTCATTTATCTCTATAACTTAGTAGAATGTGTTATCCGCAGATACCTGAGTAAGATATTTCTCACCTTATAGTTGTTCTATAGCTTTTTTCAGTAACTTGTTCATAGTTACTTGGCAAAATGAATAAATATTGAAAACAAAATGAACTTGAATCTTGTATTTAAAACCAAATTGAACTTTTAACTCTCCCCTAAGGACTGAAGGTAATATTTAATTGTGCCCATCTCACATGTTATGTTTATGTCCACTGCCTTTTGGATGCTCTTCAAAGACTTTTGACTCTAATGTGTGCCCATCTCACACGTCTTTAACTCCTTTTTAGGAGTTTCATAGGAGCACTATATATATGTTTTGGGTTGTGCTCTAATAAAGAAACAAAATTTAATTTAATTTTTGTTATAAAAAAAATTAGAATATTTATGCATTGCTCCCTTTTGTTCTACAAAATTAGAAAAGAGGTGGAAAATATTATATTTTCTTTAATGATAATCAAGGTAATAAAGTAAATTACTCCTTCACTTTCCACTTTAATATTATATATATATATTGCAAAACAATGACTATAACATATATTTTTGAATTTTTTTTTGTTTTCAATACTTATTCCAAAAAAATACTACACACTTTGAACAAGCCTTTGTTTTCCTTACTTTATTTTTTTTATATATAATAGTCAAAGTTATTTAACATGCTTCTTTATATATCACTTAAAAGTTGGTAATATGTTTTTATAAAAATCAATTTATGCTCCTACAAAGACTTGACCTCCCCTCCGGGGGGCTCATTCGGTGGTCACCTAGCATTATTTTCACTATAAAAACTCCGAAGACTGAAGACTTTAATATTGGCGAAGACTATTAACAACTTTGCCCGTCTCATACGGTACCATTGTGTCCATTATTTGCCATGGGACCTACTTTGACGCGTCAACAATTCTTCAAAGCCATGATGATATAGTTAAGCCTTTGTGATTTCAATATTCCTCCATCTATATAATGACTCTATGGCTTCACTCATTTAGTGATTACTCTATCTAAGCAAAGTAATTAAAGATGGCAACAATAAGAGTGCTATTTTTAGTATGGTTTGCCACAACTTGCTTCGAGATTAATGGTGCTGCTTTTGCCATGATAGAAGAGGAGAAACATGCTCTGCTCCAGAGCAAATGTGGGGTTGTAGAAATAGGATTGACAACTTCTCCGACCCTTGTGACGACGAAGGCATATATTGCAATGATTTTGAAAGGGTCATTAGGATGAATCGACTAAGGATAACTCCACAACACCCTCGGCTTGCAGATCTCAACCTCACTATGTTTTCTAACTTGGAAGATTTGGTGCTTGAAGGAATGGGTTTGATAGGCAACATTCCAACTCAGATAGGAGCTCTTCATAGTCTCATCTGTCTAGACTTGTCTAATAACAATCTTATTGGTAAGTTTTGTAACTTTCATCTCTTACATACCTTGCATACTCTCTCTGTTCTTTTTTTCAATTAATGTTATGTCATAAAACTATCATTATAAAATTAAATAGATAAATTTAATTGTTAAAATTTGACATGTACACATAGTTGATTGTTGCATATAGAAAAAATAGGAAAAAATTAATTTATGACATATTACAATAATGTTTTTATAAAATAGTAAATCTAAACCATTCATTTTATTATTTATAAAAGAAGAAATGATATTTGAGAAGAAAATGAGAGCATTTGGATTCCAATTTTTATTTGGTAAAAAATAATCTAGAACACATGCAACTCAAATGGCTAGTTTTAACAAATACCATTCCAACACTGATATGAGCACTTCAAAGTCTCACATTTTTGGATTTGTCTGGTAACAACGCTACAAAAAAATGGCTTATTATCAATGGAATTAGTGATGAAAAATTATACCGTCACTAATTTTTGATGAACTACTGATGAAAATTCCATCGCTAAATTAGCAACAAAATATATGTCCATCGCCAAATTCAGTAGCTAATCTGTCAAAAAATTTGTTAGTAAATATTTAGCGACAAAATTAGTGACAGAATTTTTTCCATTGCAAAAACCTTATAAGTGTCCTACCTTCCACCATTGTCAACCTTATTTAGAATTGCTAGATTTAAGTAGAAACAAAATAGTTGGAGTCATTCTTTTAATTTTAGGGTTTTATGACAAACCTCCACAACTTAGGGCTTCCTTGGTTTCTTGTCTTGAGAAAAATTTTTTGTTTTTAAAAACAAAAAAACTTGTTTGGCAATATGTTTTAGTTGATTGTTTTAAAAAACAAAAAAACAATAATATGTTTTTAAAAACTGAAAAACCAAAACAACTTTTACATGTTTTCTTGTTTTTGTTTTTGTGTTTTTTATTTTTTTGTTTTAAAAAATTAGAGAAATCTTCTTCTCTTCTTTTCTACTACCTACTACTTGTCACTATTGATGATAACTACCACTTGTCAAAGTATAATTTTTTATTTTTTTTTCAAATGTGATTTTTTAAAAATTATTTTCCAAACAAATTTTTTTGTTTACTTTTTCCAAAACTTGTTCTTAAAACCAATTTTATAAAATTATATTGAGAATAAGAAAACAAAAAACAAAAACAAACAAGCCCTTAATATTTATACTCAAATTTATTTAATACAAGTGATGCCCCTTCTTTGATTTTTGCTTTGAGAGATTTACAACACTTTGATGTTTCTCAAAATCAATTAAGTGGTAGCATGCCAGAAAAATATGGAATAGTCTTATAATAGTTGCACTTAATTACTTTCCACCTACGCAGATCTTATTTGTTTGGAACTATTCAATATGAATATAGCCATTCCTTTAGCATTATGTCTTATGACAAATATCAAAGGCTTATATTTGTGCACAAATTTATTCACTACATTACAAAAACTAGTACTATATTTGAATTTTAGTGGAATGGTGACAGGTATCATTTCAACTCAAATAGGAGCTCTTCAAAATCTCATTTCTCTGGATTTCTCTTGTAATAGCCTTGTGGGTGTGCTACCTTCCACTGTTGCCAAACTTATCGAGCATTGCTAGATTTGGGTAGAAACAAAATAGCCAGAGTCATTCTCTAAACTTTGGATTTTATGGCAAATCTCCACGACTTATATGTGTGCTCAAATTTCTTCACTGCAGGTAATATCCCTTCTTTGATCTTCAATTTGAGAGTTTTACAACGCTTTGTTGTTTCTCAAAATCAATTAAATGGTAGCATGCCAGAAAAATTAGAAAATTTCAATTACCGCTCTCATGTAGACGTCTCTCATAATAATCTGAGTGGAAACAAATAATACATTTTGAAGGATTACTTTCATTTTGATGGTAACTTTAGTCACAACAAATTCACTGGAATATTATCATCTAGTATGTGCAGTGCTCCATGGTGTAGTATTGATTTAAGCTACAATAGTATCTCTGGTAGCATACCTAGAGAACTTGGTAGGCTACAATACATCAACTTGTCATACAATCTTCTCAATGGCTATGTTCCAGGTAAAGTTTATAGCTCTTTTCATCATGACATTTTAAATGGCAAAAAAGAATTGCTTGGTCCAGAGAAGATACATAAAGGCTCAAAGTCTTTGCCGAGAATCATTATTCCTTTGGCAATTTTTCTTGTCATCACATTTGTTGTGGGTTTCATCTTATTTAAATCATTTAAAAAAAAAGAAATCCATAAGTGAGACAAGAGAAGCAAAAAATGAGGATTTGTTTTCCATATGGAATTATGATGGAAAAATTGCATATGAAGACATTATTGAGACAACAGAGGACTTTGACATCAAATATTGTATTCAAACCGGTTCCTATGGAAGTGTTTATAGAGCACAACTTCCAAGTGGCAAAATTGTAGCATTGAAAAAACTTCATAGAAGAGAATATGGAAGCACATCTTTTACTAGGAGTTTTGACAATGAAGTGAAAATGTTGAGTGAAATTTGCCATCGCAATATTATAAAGCTTCAAATATGAGCCCAAATTTGGTAAGGTCCTGTTGATCATAATGGTTGATAAAGTGAAGTTCATTATATCTTGTGTCTTAGTCCATCCAAGGACCACCTCTCTAATCTTAAGATATTGTCTAATCTCCAATATATGAGAGTGAATTCTAAAGGTCTATCTTTATTTTATAATTGTGTAAATAGTAATAATCAAAATATGTGCATCTTTTTTCAACCAAACTATCGGGATGAAGGATAGGATGCTTAACTTATTCCCTCAACCAATCACCTTCCAGTACGGTCCCAAGTCATTCAAATGGTAAGTAACATTGGGAAAAAGGGCCGGCCTAGCCCTGTAGGACAGGCCCGTCACAGGCTCGGGCCTCAACGGGTCAGCCTGTTTAAGCCTAAATCCTAAAAGTGACCAATTTTTTCAATATTGGCCTGTGAGATAACAAGCTCGAGTTGGCCCATAGGCTTTTGACCCGTTTAACTAAAATGTATTTTTTAATTTGTTTAATATATATGATCAAAATAATAAAAATGAAACGATAAAATTACTAATAAAAGGTATAAATATCAATAAAATTAAGTCACAAACATAAACATCATCATGTCTAAACATCTATCACAATGTAATAGAGTCTATTGAATAAATAAACTAAATGGAAGATAGGCGTAAACAACTAAATAAGCACTAAGTTTAGTAAATAATTACAATATGGATGATATGGTTTAATTATAAAGAATTAACAGAAAAGTTTAACTAACAAACATAGTATACATAAAGAATAATCATTCACCCTACCGGCAAAAAAGAAAAGAGCCCATCATTCCTTGTTCTAAATTCATTTTTAATTATAAAAATAATATAGATCTTTACTTTAATTCAAAATTTTTTTAATTAATTCTATTTCAAGCATAAAAAATATGAGAGAATGACAAATAAAGACGGTAAAAATTACACATACTATATTTTAATAGGCTTTGACAGCTTATAAATAGCAACACACTTTTGTGAATATACCTAGTTTTAAATTTTGTAATTTTTACCTTTTTTTTGGTTATTTTTCCAACAACTATAGTGATTCTTTTTTTCTTTGTGGTGAATGCTGTCTATGTGAGCTGTTGGAGTGAGTAAAGCTAATAGTGCGTTATGCGTAAAATGTTATGGTTTTCTTTTTTAAGTTAAGAAAAAAATAAAAATTTTAAAAAAAGGTTGGCAGGTTTAAAAGAGTTGGCCCGTGACCCTACAAGTCTAGCCAGTTTATTTTTCAGCCTTAGAGGGCTAGTCTTTTTAAGTCCAACTTTCCTTTTATAACTTCAAAATACAAGCCCGCCCCTCGACTTAAACAAGCTTAAACGGGCCGTCCTGATGGGCTCGACCGGTTTTCCCGATTTTAATGGTAAGGTTGCACTTATTATTATTCTTAATGACTGCACACTCAAAGCTAAAATTTCATCATCTTTTTCTGTGGCAACTGCAAATCATACATAAAGAAGCAAGTAACATGGGATGGCGTTTATTCAGAACATAAAGCTAAAAATTAAAAGAAAAAGAGACTAAAAAAATTAGGGAGAGCTAATCTGGGGCCAACTTATTGCGCTTTTGGTGGCACAAATACCCGCCCACCACTTTTATCTGAAAGGCTTGTACTAGGAATCAATTTTATGACCAATATTATGATAATTGTTGCGGTGAGATTTACATTATAAAAATTTATTTTTAACGGTTTAGATTTAAATTTGTTAACTAATGGTTTTTTAGTAAGAAAATAATTCTTAAAAACTGACAGAAGATAATTTTTATTTTAGACTTTACACACATTAAAATATTAAATTATCAAAAAATGTTAGATTAAATATGAACTGTTTAATTTTTAATTTGATCATTTCAGATTTTGAAACCAAACCCTCCTAACATGAGATCATTTGCATTTGCCTAATACTTCCTCTGGTTGTATTTATAAGTTTCAAATTTAGGCAGGAGTGTGATTCATTTTATAAGCTTCAATTTAAGTTTTGCCTTAATATTTGAATTTTTTTTATTTTATAGTTCACCACATATTCTCTTTCATTTTTTTCTCATTTATTATAAGGGCATATTTAAAAACAAAAGTATATTTTTAATTAATTTATTATTTTTAACTAATTTTAACTAATTATTTATTGTCTGTAAATTAGTTATTTAAAAGGGAAAATTTTGATTAAGGACCACAAATGGGAATTAATTTCAAACAGTCCCAAAAAATTCTGAGATATCACTGTAGGACTAAAGGACCAAACTGAAATTAAAATTAGGAGTAAGATTACAATAATACCCCTCATTTTTATTTTTTTAAAAATAAATATTAATGGTCGCCGGAGTTCCGGGCCAGAGGTCGGAGGTCCGCCCACTGGTACTCAGGTGGCTATTGTTGGAGGTTGGAACTCCGGTGGCCGCTACTGTAGCTCTGGTGGCCTGAAGTTTTTTTTTTAAAAAAATAAGGTGACCAAAAGAAGATTTGAACCTATGACCTCTTGGCACACCAAAAGTGATTTGACCACCAAGCCAAGCAAACTATTTAAGCATTTGGTGCAAATAAAAACATATATAACAAAACAAACGTAAGTATCCAAGTGTAAGTGAATAAGTGAAATTAGACAATTTACAAGTGAAATTGAGCAATTTACAGCAAAAATTTAATAATTTACAAATAAGATAATGGGATTCACAACCCCAAATGCAAGTGTTTAAGTGTAAGTAAACAAATGAAATTCGACAATTTACAAATGAAATTTAGCAATTTACAACAAAAATTTGACAATTTACAAATAATATAATGAAATTCACAACCCCAAATGGAAGTGTTTAAGTGTGAATTCACTTGCTCATTTACACTTAAACACTTGTAT